TGGCTGTCCATGGCACAAAAAAATCCTCCAGCACCAAAGCTCAATCCTGTTTACACAACAATAATTAAAAACTGAGAAAATGAGAGCACAGACAAGTCTGATGTTTGTTTTCAGTGTAATTTCTTTCCATTTGAAAACTTTGTTGAAAGTTTTCATTGTGTAGCAACAAAGTGCAATTCTGCAGAATGTTTAATCACTGCTGGTTGCCTCCTTTTTTATGAGAGAGCCTGGGTGATTAAAATGCTTTACAACTTCTATTCTGTCACTGTTAAGCTCAAAATTGTCATTTTCTGTGTTCGTAACCTTCATCTTGTTTATATTCAATTCTAATCCAATGTCACCAGTTTTGACTTTACTTATCTAAGTATCTTTGGGGCCATAAGACACCTAGAATGCGATCCACTATTCTATCATTACCGAAATGAAGGGTTGGGGGTGGCCCTGCCCAATTTTCTGCTTTACTGTCATGCAGCCTTTCTGCTCAGAGTGATTGACTGGTACCATGGTCAATCTACCAAGTCATGGACTCAGTTGGAGAATGATCTTTTGACCCCTGACCTTACATCCTTGTCTTGGTTGGAGCTTGGACAGAGGCCTCAGAGAGATTTAATACCGCTTATGGTTCATGCGACTTTACAAATTTGGGATACTTACTTACATAAGAGTCTAGTGACCTCTAGGCCGAGCCCTTTGACCCCATTGTTTGGGCTAGCATCATTCCCTTCCACGTATCAGTGCTCTCAGTTCCTGTGTTGGTGCCAGGATGATCCTCTACTGGGCCACACTTTGTGTGGCCGAATCCTTTTACCTGTTACCCAAATTTGTCCCTCTTGCCATAGTGCATCACTTGCATGGTTGGAATATACACAATTGAAATATTATCTGAGTAAGCGGTGCTATACCGATCTTCTGACACAATCTTCCTTGGCTTTCGAATCTCTCCTATCCCAGTGCACTTTCACAGGTATACCAGATCTAACTGCGAGAGACATATCCCAATCCCCCTCTGTACCTTTCTAAATGGGAACAGGAACTGCACACATTAGCGGATGAATTGGTCAGGGACAAGATACTGGCTGCATCATACAAATTATCTGTATCTTCTTATGCTCACGGGCGAAATTACAAGATCCTGTCTAGATGGTACTGTTGCCCTACGATTTTGCATAAAATTTACATATCTAACTCTGAGATTTGCTGGAGATGCTTTGAAGAACCTGGTACCATGACCCATATTTGGGGCACTTGCCCAAAAATTTTACCTTTCTGGGAGAAAATACTCAATTTGTTTAATACATTCGTGGGAGACAACATTCCAAATGAACCTCGGATTACCATATTGTCTATGCTGCCAGGTTCGTATAAGCAATTTAAAAGAAGTGTATGACACTTTCTTACGGCTGCTCGTTCTGTGATCGCCAGGCATTGGCATCAGACTGAGGCTCTGTCTATAGCTGAATGGACTTGTGAGGTTGACAAGACTGAATATATGGAAAGGATGATTGCTTGGAATGAGGATAAATCTGAATCATTCAAGCTTATGTGGACACTGTGGTCTCACTTCAGATTTTCAACAGGCTTTGACAGTTTTATTTCAGTTTAGGCCGACAGTCCTTTTGCTAATCGAATTCCTCATCCCACCCACCCTTCCTCTCATGTGCGTTTTTTTTCCCCTCTTTCTTCTCTGTTTCCTACTTTTCTTTTGTCCTATCCAATAACGGTTTCATAGTATTTTGGTATCCGTTATCTCAGGGCTTAAAATTTCGAGTCTAGACCTACTAGCCAAGCACAAACCTTACCCTCAAAATATCAAGTTTTACAGCTTTAAACCTGTAGTAAACATTTTGTATTTTTTTTTGTTTATCTCCTGCATCTTTAAAAAGAGACTTTAGTAACTAAAGTCTCTTTTAAAAGATGTAAGTTTAGTTCACAGAAGTATAGCATAGGAAAAAGTGCTTATTTTGATGCCAAAAAACATGGAATAATAGTTACTGTAAACATGTATTTTTTATCTCCAGCAGAGATCTTAGAGAAGTGTGGCATTAAGAAAAAAGTGCCTCTTTTGATGGCCAAAAAACATTGCATAAAATAAATAACAATAGTAAACATTTTCATCTCTCCAGAATCTTATTAAAAGAGAGCTTGGGGAAGTAATGCATTAAGAAAAAACAAAAAGTGCTTATTTAGATGCCAACAAACATGGCATAACAATAGTAAACATTTTACCAAAGATGTGCTAATAGAGCAGCCATGGTTTGTGTTGTACAGCAGGACCAAGACTTGTGTAATACCCTTTTTCTGATGCAAAATGCCACTTCAATGGCTGTGTGTGGTTTGCAATCTATTCAATGAAGAAAAAAACACCAAAAAATGATTTTTTTGGATGACAAAAAGCAGTAGGAAGCCAGTTTCACATCAAGATTTGCATCAATGGTTTTCGTTGTACAGCAGGACCAAGACTTGTGTAATACTCTTTTTCTGTTTCAAAATACCACTTCAGTGGCTGTGTGTGGATTGCAATCTATTCAATGAAGAAAAAAACCACCAAAAAATGTAATTTACCTCAAGCTGGCGGGTGTTGGGATGTGGACCATTGGCGGGTCTCTCCTTCACGTATCCCCCACGTTGGTGTAGAGCGGGCCTCTCCTCGTGTCTCCCAAGGCAGTGTAGAGCGGGCCTTTTCTCCTGTCCCCCAAGGCAGTGTAGTGCGGGCCTCTCCTCATATCACCCAAGGCGATGTAGAGCGGGCCTCTCCTCGTGTCCCCCAAGGCGGTGTAGAGCGGGCCTCTCCTTGTGTCCCCCAAGGCGATGTAGAGCGGGCCTCGTGTCCCCCAAGGTGGTGTAGAGCGGGTCTCGTATCCCCCAAGACGGTGTAGAGCGGGCCTAGTGTACCCCACGCGGTGTAGAGTGGGCCTTGTGTCCCCCAAGGCGGTGGAGAGCAGGCCTCTCCTCGTGTCCCCCAAGGCTGTGGAGAGCGGGCCTCTCCTCGTGTCTCCTGCGGCGGGGGAGAGCGGGCCTCTCCTCATGTCCCCCGCAGTGGCGAAGAAGAAACCTGAAGTTGGAAACCGGAAGTTGGCTTCACAACGAGGCTTGGAGCGCAAGTGGAACGCAAATTGATCCCCGGTGCCTGGGGATCACATTGCAAGCCACCCACTCCATCTGTGCTCGCCACAAAGGGATTTTCCCTCGCATTTGGCAAGTGGGCGAGCAGAAATTTCAAGCCCTGAGTTATCTTACAGGGCGATTTGATATTTCACATGCTTCCTAGATTATATCTTTCTTAATTAAATTGGATATGATGGCCTAATTTTTTCCTTTCTTGTTTTTTTTTTTTACAAAATAAAAATGATATAACTTTTTAATATATTTGATGTTCATGTACCCTGAAAGTCCCATCTTCTCTATTGAATATTTGTAATTTTTACCAAGGTTTTAGTCATCTTTATTGAAAGATGTTTTGCGCATCATTTTCCTCTTCTACCTCTCTATATTGTATTATATTGTGTTTATCATATGAGGTTGTTATGTTTTTGGCAGTTATTCATATGTTTTGTATAAATGCTACTTATTTCTGTACTACTTGCAAATACTTCATACTTCATAATAGAAATAGATTAAACATAACTTATCTGAGTAAATACAGCATATCTTCTTTGCTGCAGGTGATGAGTGTTGTCATCTGCATAGCGCAGGTTGTTTATGTTTCGGCTGCCATCTTTAATACTGACAGACTCTTCTTCCAAGTTTACTTTTCTGAAGATGGCTTCACCGTATAGGTTTACCAAGTAAAGTGATGAGATATATCCTTGTCTAACACCATGTTTTATCGGAATGCAGTCAGTGTTGCCTTATTCAGTTCTCACTGCAGCTTCTTGATTTTTGTAGAGGTTCTTTATCAACTGTGTGTTTACGTATTCCCATTTGCAACATAGTCCTTCAAAATTGATCATGATCCATACAATCAAATGCTTTACTGTAATTAATAAAGCTAAAGTATACAGTCTTTTGGTATTTTGTGCTCTTCTCTAATATCCATCTAATATTGGTAATAATGTCTCTTGTTCCTCGGCCTTCTCTGAACCCAGTCTGAGCTTCAGGTAGTTCTTGCTCAACGTATGATTGTAATCTCCTTTGCATTATTTTCAGTAATATTTTGCTAGCATGTGGAATGAATGCAATCGTTCTGTAATTGTTACAATCTTTGGCATCTCTTTTCTCCAGACTAAGAATGAACAGTGATCTTCTCCAGTCGGTTGGCCATGTTATTTCCTCCAGATCCATTGACATAGCTGAGTAAGGGCCATGATAGCACCTTTAGAACCTCTAAATAACTCAGTTGGAATCTCATCGATACTTGGTGACTTATTGTTTGATAAAGCTTTAATTGCTGCTATGACTTCTTTCTTTAGTACATCTGGTTTGTCGTCTATATCACTGTCTAGGAATCCTAATAGCCAGGGTTATAGCAAGCTTTGGTGCCTTTTTGGCTCTCAAGGTGTGCCTAGTGTGGCTCTATTACCCCGCATGCATCATCCAAGTGACACCTACTGCATCTGCTCAAACAGGCACTACTGCTCTTGTGCATCTTCACAGCCTCTTTCTCATTGTAGTTACTGCGCCTATGCCTCCTGCCTCTTCGAACCTGGGACTACAGACCAGCAACTTCTCCTGGTTCTCTAAGAATACATAACTAGTGATTTATTCTTGCAAATTCTGAGTTACTGCAGCCTACGGGTGCCTGGCATCGAGGCATCCGCTCTCCTGCTCCCTCTCTATTGCTGCGAGTAAGCCTCTGAGGTAAAATTTCACATGGCAGATCACAAGCACAGGGAAAAGGGGTCAAATAGCTTGCTAGCTTAACCTCCTTAGCGGTATTCCCGAGTGTAGCTCGGGGTAACATTTCAGTACCAAAAGCGGTAACCCCGAGCTACACTCGGGAATACCATGCGGCGCTGCTCCGGCATGTGTTCTTCACTTACCTTACCCCGCGCTCCCACGATGTGTCCCCTGCAGCGTCCCCGGCCATCTCCTCCGGCCGATGCTGGCATCCGGCTTCTGTGTCCTGTCCCTGTGACGTCGGGACGTACGGGCGCCGCCGGCGGCGGGAAATTTAAAAATTTTAAAAAATGTAATTTTTTTTTTTTTTTACATAGTAAAACATTGCTGTCTCAACCAATTTCACATACATTTTGTCCCGAGTGCTTTGTCCGGCGCCCTGCCTGCATTTTGTCTGTTCTTTCTGCCTGGAAACTGAGAAAAGTCCATGGCGTCCAAAAAGTGTCCCTTTTACGTCAAAAGCGGGTTTAGATCAGCTAGAGAACAGCGATAGTAAATCAGAACCACTTGCAGAATTGAGTGATAATGATTCGTGGGGGAAATTCGTCATCAGACACTGAAAACGATTCTGCGACTGAGCTCAGCAATGTGCGAAACTTGGCGCTATATTTCAAATTTCAGTGTTTTTGGTTTGATTATATTATTGAATTAAATTTTTTATTATTTTTATATTATTTTTATGATTATTTATTAAATTATAATTTATGATTTTGTGTTTCAAATTTTATCATACCCGGGATGTTTACTAGACTCTTGTTCGGACAGATTTCAGTGAGTTTTTCCTAAAAATTACAGGCCTACAATTAAAAAAATACATATTTCCATGCAAAAAAATGGTACCGCTTTCAGCACCAAAAATCTGAAATAATCATACCGCCAGGGAGGTTAAGCTAAGCTTTTGGCTTCTTTGTGGGTGGCAGCACATCTTTTCAGAGCCCTAGTACCTATTCCTCTGATAGCAGCCCCCATTCTGTTCCCCTGATTTTTCCTGGTAAGTTGTGGAAGTTTCTCAAGACAGATGCCAGCCTGTTGGAACTGGGGAGCAGTCCTGTACACCCTATCAACGCAGTGGGCTTGGTCATCAGCCTTCTGATCTATATTTTGGAATTCGGAGCAATTTGGTTGTCCCTTCAATGCTGGGCTCTCCTACTTGCATGGCCGCTTGATCCAGGGGAATAGGCTCTTTATCCAGAGGTCTTTCAAACCATTTTCCATAGGTTGGGGACACCCAATGTGGATCTGCTGGAGTCCAGATTCAACATCAAACTGGACAGATTTTTGACCAGGTTCAGGGACCCTTGGGCCTTTGCAGTGGATGCTCGATGACATTATGGAATCAGTTCAGTCTAATCTACCTCTTTCCGCCCCTCCAGATTCTTCCTCTCCTACTTTGCATGATCGAGAAGGAGGGCATTAATGTGATCCTCATTGCATCAAATTGGCCTAGGAAGATATAGTACTAAAACATACCCATGCTTCTGGCAGACACCCCAGGGGCGCTTCCAAATTGTACCGACCTTTTGCCCCAAGGGCCAGTGTTATTTTCCATCTTGGCTTTTGGTCAATGGCTTTAATGGCAGGGATGTTGAAGCCATGGTGCTGAGAGACAGGGCACTTTAGGATTTAGTTATTCCTACTTTCTTGAAAGCTAGGAAGTCTACTTCTTGTAAAGTCTACAATCAAATCTAGAAGTCTTTATTTGCATGGTGCAAGTTGAGGTACTCTTATCATACAAGGTATTCCATGGGACGTGTCTTTCCTCCAGCCTGGTCTGGACCAACATTTGGCCTTGAGTACCATTAAGGGACAAATCTCTGCCATCAACATTCTGTTTCAAATACTTCTGGCCCCTCACATTCTAGTTTATTTCTCCCCCTGATCCTTTCCCTGTACCCCTCAATCTGATTCTCTTGACTCTTTAGTAGTCAGCCTTTGAACTCATTAGTGATATTCCATTGTCTGACTTTACCCTTAAGGTGGCCTTGCTTATGGCTGTTACTTCTGCGAGAGTCTCAGAGTTGATGGCCTTATCCTGTAAGAAGCTTTTCTTTGTGTTACACATTGACAATGTTGTCTTGAAACGTAAGGTCACCTACCACACAAAGATGGTCTCTGCCTTTCAACTTAATCTGCATATTGGCCTTCAGCTACTTTCCCTTTTAGGAAATTGTATTCTCTCTTGGTTTTTCCTAAAGTTTCCCACAAGTGTCTCCATGCCTCTCACTCCACCATTACTAGGTGAAGCAGACAAATTATTATTGGAGGCTTAATCTGAATGATAGGGTTCCTCCCTTCTCTGTCAAAGCACACTCTACCAATGTGCACTCTGATAATGCTTTTTGAGCTTTCCGGCATCAAGATTCTGTTTCTCAGATTTTCAATGATGCCACATGGTCTCCTGTTCACTTGTTTGTTAAATTGTACCAGATAGATATTCAAGCCTCCTCTGATGCCATGTTGGACATAAGATACTACAAGCTGTTCTCTGTTCTTTCTTGACCTGTTTATTATGTTTTGACTTTATTTGCTGTGTTGCCAACCCCTCAGCTGGACTGCTTTTAAATATCCCAGTCATAATGATTAAAGAGCCTGTGTCCTGTACACTATGACTGGGAAAATAGGTTTTTTGACTCACCAGTAATATCTGTATCCTGGATTATGGTACAGGACCCTCCTCTCAGTTCTTATCATCTCCCTATTACATGCTACAAAACTGAGGCTAGCACAATATGGGAGCAGTTATACAGGGAGATGTCCCTGATGCTTTGTTTTTTTTTTGCCAGCGTCCAATCACCTGCAAATAAGCCAGTCATAATGATTAAAGAGTTTGTGTCCTGAACTGTATTCCAGGAAACAGATTTTACTGGTAAGTCAAAAATTCTATTTTATTTTAACAATTTTAATTGAGGTAGTAAAAATGAGTCCTTCTGGCGAGTTTTTACTGCTGTCTGTGTCCCTCTGGAGAAATTCATCTGGAATCATAACTGTTGGACTCAGATATAGCCCAGGGTAGACTATGGCTCTGAGTCATCTAGGGCAGAGATCCACAGTTCTGTTGCAAGTGCCTGTTGTGTAGCTTCCTTTACCAAATCTAAGGTTAAAAACTGGTGTTTTTTTATAAACTTTTTAAAAGTTTTGCTGTTACCTGCTAAAGGTCACCAGGGCCGCAGATTAAAAATATAAATCCATAGCTACATCCCAGTTTTTCAAAATCCTAAAAATCTCATGTAAACAATAACTTCACATAGGCATGCTGAATTACGTATAAAGGAAAATTAGAACAATAGTGGACCAGTAGCCAATATGAGCCTTAAAGTTCAACACGTTTTGTGGGGGGATTATGCAGTAAAAAAGGTTAAGAAATTAGAGCTTCCCTCATGTTTTGTTGCCGTCTGTGTCTCCATTAGCATTTTTTCTGTTGGAAATTGACTACTCTTTTTGGATTTTGTTTTCCTGCTCTGACACCTGTCACCTAGGTGGGAAGTGAGGGGAATCTTCCTCCTGGAGACATAGTTCAGCAATAAATCCCTGCAGCACACTACAGCCCACATTGCATTCACACCTGTGTATTATGACTTGCTGAAGTGCAGGTACGTTTCTTTTTACTATCTTCACTCACAATGACAGCACACGTATACACCACATACTGTGTATTGCTGTACCCTGGGGCGGACTGACCATTTGGAAACTCGGGCACTACCCGAGGGCCCGGGGTCAGTAGGGGGCCCCATGAGATGCCCCTGGTACCTTTTTCATAGGCTTTTTTGAGTTTGGGCAAGGGCACAGGGGCCCCATGATCCCCTATTGCCCGGGGGCCCCATGAGTTGTCAGTCCGCCCCTGGCTGTACCTCACATTTAAGCACAAGTTTTTAAAGCGCAATACTGCAAATGCATAGATGTGAATCCAATCTAAAGATTCAGTGCTTGTTTCAAATGGCCAGATGTGCACTTTCTGTACTGCACCCTTTAAACAGTACAGTTAATATGGCAAGCTTAAAATGCATGAAAAGAAAAAAAGGATCTGAATTTAAAGGGCCTGGGTGCCATCACCCCATAACACATTAATAATCATCCCCTGACCTGATGTGAAGCATACTAATACAAGACAGACTAGCATTAAAGTTGTTATTGTACTAAAAGAGGAACCAAACAGCACATATAAACAAGCCTGTTTTTCCTTCTTGGAAAGACATGACAGGCCTGGGAAGCTGAAACATATGTTTTCATGTTTGTAGCTGGCGTACGTCAAAAAGGTTAGGGTATGAACATGCAAGGCCTTCCCTCAGTACTGTGACGTGGACAGCAGTGTGCTGGGAGCACAGGCGTAAGGGTCTGCATTATCCCCTATATGCAATAGCACATCTGCCAGATGTTCCAGCAGTCATGACAAGGAAATGCAAAGTTCATCCACTACCACTGTTTATATACTAGCAGCATACACTGATTCATGCAGGGGGTTCTCCCTGAAGGAAACCTCCTCGTACATTTGGAGTGCACAGTTTTCCTGGAGAAACTGGACTAAATCCAGCTTGTGCTACATTTATGGGGTGAACATAAACAAAAGCTGCTTGCACGTGAACTTTCAAAGCTACACTTTTCGAGCTCACATGCTAACCAAGGCTGGATTAAAAAAAGACTTCATTCTTGGTTTTATAGGATGTATGGAGTCTTTACATGAATTTCAGCCAGATCGTATAGTTTCAGGTTCTAATCTACAACACAGTAAAATTCTAGCAAGCCCAATAGCTTAACTTCATACATTTTGGGCCTATTGCAAAATCTTTATAGGGCCCCCGTCTCCCTATCATCCATTCTAATTTTACTGTGGCGCACAGCTTGTGGAGCAGGTTTCTTGGCAGCAACAATTTGATGCGCTGTAAATAGGCATCGATGCTTCCATTGCATGACATTTTCAGCAAAATCATCTATTTTGCAGCTTTTATTGCTGTGATAGTTTTTATAGCTGTAAAAATAAGGTATTTATCATCATGATATTAGATATTTCATCTGGGATTTAATGCAAAACTTAAGACCCACTTTGAAAAATTGCTGAGAGTTAGAGGTTTTTTTGCCAAAATGGACATGCAAATTTCTTTTTTTTGCCAAAAATGCCTTCCCAGGCGGCTATCGATTTTTCTTTTCAAATATACTGCATGACATGTGCCGTATGCTGTACATCCCAGCTCATTACTGGCATGATGAGAATAGAGCTGGATACTATGTAATTCCTGCATGTATATGCAGGCATTACATCTGTAGTGGCTGTCCAATGGCTGAAGAGAAGAGTCATGGATCTAGAACAGTGGTATCCAAACTGCGGACTATGAGACAGATGTGGCCCTTTGCTTTTCTTTATCTTGCCCTTGGCACATTTTTTTCCCACTGATACAAGGCACCATTTCTCCTGCTGACACCAGTGGTGGGGCACCATATCTCCTGGTGACACCAAAATGGTTTACCAATTTTCTCACTGACACTAGTGATGGGACACTATTCTTCCCACTGACACCAATGTTGGG